ACACTACAAGTTTAGCTTTTCAATTCGTACGACACACTTCGACCGGATTGGTGAAAAAATATCAAACAAAATTCAGACGAATATTTCTTCAATTTCGTCTGGGCCATTACTCTTTATGTTCAACTAAAAGTATTCGAATCAGTTTTTTGCATATTGATATGGCAGCAGAGTTGATAAAAAGTATTATTTGAAAAAAATCAGGACCGGACTTGGTTTTTGGAGATAATTACAAAAAACTATAATTTCCGAAAAAGATTCGTCTGAATATCATAATATTTTTCAACGAAGGTTCTCAAAATGTCCTCCCCAATTTCTATACATTTTTTGCATATCTTCGGAAAATTTCTTATGATTATTCGAATAATTAGCCTAATATTCCTGATCATATCTGAATCTGTAACTATCCTCTTCCCCAGTTCCTCTCTTGTGTTGACTTCAGTCTGATATACCAATAGTTTCATAGAGAGATAGATGGTAGTCTAATACTGTGAGATTAGGGGACCTATGGGGCCAAGAATGAGAGCCGCCAAGACCTATCCAGCGATTAGAGGATTGTTTGTCTAGGTATTCTCTCACTTGTATTGAGTTGTGTATGGAGGTGCCCCATCCTGTTAAGAGAAAATACCTATTTATGTCCATTTTCATACATCTATCACATACTTCTTTCGTAGTGTTTTCTGAATAAAGAAAACACCAAACTCACAATTTGACTCGCTGATTGTAGTATGAGTTGGCACGTTCATCTGATTCGGAACAAATATTTTACCTAAGCAATAATATTTTATATTTTTTTATCTCTTGGAGCGCACGGAAGGAAATTGCTATAATGTTCGAAGAACATCGTGCGTACTTAGGGAGGATAGGGAGAGGAGGTAGGTATTGGAATTTCTGTGAAAATTAGGTACCTACTTATTTCCATGTTTTGAAAGGTCTCTTAAAGAAAAGTGAGTCCGGTCCTGGAATTTTTCATCGAATATTCAACTCTTATAACACACCGATATGCAAGAAAGAGATTCAAATGAATTTGTTGAACGATGTGACTACAATAGCCAGTACAGAATCACAGAATCGTTCATCAGTATTTTGTTTGATATTTTATCACTAATCCGGTCGAAGTGTGTTGTACAAATTAAAAAGCTACACTTGTAGTGTTTTTTTCCTGATCTTTCTGATTCTGATGTAAGTTTTTGAAAAATACGATTCAGAAAGTCGAAATTTTGACATTTAAAAAGAAAATGAGTTTTTTAAGTCCGGCTCTGGAATTTTTTTTCCTCGTAGGCCATCGTGTGGAGTGTCAGTAGAGGAAAATTGCTGGTGAATTTCTGGCGAAAACATCAAGACGTTCCTGAAATATCCTTCATCAAAGTTTCGCCCCGAATTCAAATAATGCCCTGTATTTCTGTTACTAATTGGCAAAATATATTTCTTCATATATATACCAACTCACATTGACTTCCTCTATCTACCATCAGGCTATGGCTGATTAGTCATGACTCACCCTGTATAACATTATAATAATTATTAATGTTTTGTTTTACGTCACATAACGAATAATAATAATACGCAAAGAGGGAGAAATTTCACTCGTGAAGAATATTGCAAAATTTTCCGATTTTGGAATCCTGTACCTCTGCCAAATTAGAATCTCACACCTTCGGAACTCGGTAGATGATGAAAATTTTAAGAAAAACCAAACTGAAACTATACAGGGTGTTTCAAAAAAACCTAACCCCCTTGCTAAGGTAGGTAGAACATTGCAAAATAAGTTGGGTTTGCTCAGTAAAAAAATATCGTAACGCCATCCGTTTTCAGGATACAAGGTGTTGATACAATATTTTTTTTACACATTTTTTACGTTTATGTTGAAACTACTGGCAACATTGTGATGAGATTTTGTATGGATGTTTCTTGGAATCTGACACATCGAATGCATTTGTTTTTATATCTGACTCTTATAGAGGGCGCTAGTTACACGGTTCGTACCGAGTAGTTTTGAACAAAACTTTTTCGAGGTTAGATTTTTCAATCCAAATTTGATGTGAACTTGAACATCATTCAATTTCACACCAAGAGGGTACTCCTGGTAAACCAGGATACTGTGTTCCGTTTTCGGAATATTTCGATTTGAAAATGATGAAGTGTTGCTGGTATAAAGCTATGTATTAGAGTGAGTATTATGAAAAATTATCACCTATTCATTGAAAACCGAAAACAACAATACATTTCTGATGCAAAACTCATTGATTTAACTATGAATCATAAGAACATCATGGAAACAGATTTGACTATGAACATGGATTACACTATTACACAGTTTTGTTGTATCTTGAGCAGAAAGTCAATGCTACATAGGTAAATTCACGTCAAGAGACATAATTGAACATCACTTGAATGACCTAACAGCTGATCTTCAACATTTCAGAAGAATAATACATTCTTAAAAAAAGAATATAGAATCGTGTATTTCTCGAAACGTAGGACATTTTGAACACTTACTCTAACTGCTTCAATATTTCATGTTTCTAGTCAAATATCTCTTAATTTTCCACTTATGATTCTTTGATCCATCAATAACTTCAGCACAAGAATAATTTTATTGTTCTTGAACCTGAATAAATAGGTAATTGAACTCAATAAAATTTATTTTATACCAGCATCATTACTACTACTTACTATTTAAAGTGTAGATATGTATAAATCAATCAATGGTCTGTGATATGTTGTATAGGCTACATATATTCATGTTTTTTTTTACACTGGGTTCACCCGTTAATAAATAAATAAATACTCCATTATTTTCAAATCGAAATATTCCGGAAACGGAACATAGTATCGAATTTCCCCAGGAGTACCTTTTTGGTGTAAAATTGAATGATGTTCAAGTTCATATCGTATATGGATTGAAAAATCTAACCTCAAAAAAGTTATGTTCAAAACTACTCGGTACGAACCGTGTAACTAGCGCCCTCTATGAGAGTCAGATATAAAAACAAATTCATGCGATGTGTCAGATTTCAAGAAATATCCATACAAAATTTATTCACAATGTTGCCAGTAGTTTCGGAACAATCGTGAAAAACTCAGCTCATGTGTAGTTATAGAGAAAAAATTCAAGAAATGCAAGACTTTCGAAAAAAAAATCGAATTTTTGTTTCAATGGCCAATAAAGAAGAAATCACGAAAACGTCCCGAGACAGTGTATCATAATATGACTGACTTTTGATCAGAAAAAAAATTCTCGAGTTCTGGCAGCATTGCACACCCTGTGTAAGTTTTGTTCTGCGGATGTTTCCAGAGTGATCTAGCTCTCTTTGAAGCCCATGGAACATCACATCTGATATCGAAAACCGAATGAAGATCAGTCAATATTTTAAAAAAATACAGGTCTGCGAAATAGAGTCAAATTATGAGTTTTTTTTTATCGCTTGGAGCGCACGAGAGGGAATCCCTATAATGTTCAAAGAACATCGTGCGTTCCTAGGGAGAACTGTATAACAAAAGTCAATGTTAGAAAAGTAGCTACCATAAAATGCTGACAACTATTCCATAAACATACCACAAAGAAGAAGAGAGAGGTTGACTGATAGTGTGGGTGTTAAGATAACCTCTATCCGAGTTTCAAATATAAATTTGATATTATAGGGCTGTCAGGAAGAGAAGCATGTTGTTCCATCCACAATTCATAACTCCCACATCGTTGTTCACATATTTTGATAGGCCCACATGAGAGCCCCCATTTCGTTAGCCCCACATTTCAATACACCCACCTGAAGGATGCACTGTTGCCAAATACTATGCTAAATACGTTATTTTCCGGAAAATATACTTTCTAGGAAGAAGATTCATGTTTCATGTAGACCGAGTTAGGTTAGATTGTTTAGGTAAAGTATTCTCCTTTCTTATGCAGGTGCCAGAAAGTAATATTTTCTCGTTTCTTATATTACGTCTTCCGAATTCCTAAAGCTAAAGAGAAAAATGGTATTATAGAGATGCTTGTGCCAGACATTGTGGGCCTTTCCACACATTGTTATACACCTTCATTTTTGTATGTTTGGAGACTGTGGGTTTATTGAAATGTGGGCATAACAAAATATGTACCTATAAAAATGTAAAAAGCAAATTTAATGCCTTGGCTATGAAACGTCAGCCATGGCAATGAATCTTATGTTTCTGCCTAGTAAAACAAATAACTATTCCTTTGAATTTTTTCCATCCCAACTGTACTATAGTACCATTTTTGGAGAAAATATAATCTATAATCATAAAATCTGCTGATTGTTGCTAAAAGAATATGATTGAGAATTACAAGAAAGAAATTACATGCATTTTAGGTATTGAATGCATGTTTGTCCCTTATAAAAACAATCAAATTCAAATTATCCATACACCAATTACACCATTCAAAAGTTATAAAATACTTAAATTTAAGCGTTTGAATCATGTCCATGACTTATTTGGTTGGAAAATTGTGAAACGGTTGTGCTAGCTTGAGGTTAAGCTGGCCAAACACAATTTTTTCACCAACTGCTGAAGTTGAAAAATTCGGGTTGTTGTTAAAAAATAGTTGATTAATAGTTATTAAATACTAGATGATTTTCATTTGATTGCACCAAAATGGCAGTGTCAGTTTTGTTTATCTAGAAATGAGCAACAAAATGCAGCTAATTTATTGGCCATACAAAAAAAAGTAAGAGCACCATGAGCAGTGCAGTTTCAGTCTCAGACAATAATATTTGGGACCAGTAAACAATCTTTACCTGTTCTTGAAACATCCTATACTATCAAGTATCAACAGTCTGTTAAAAATATGGAACTATTGCAATAAAAGTTCTCTTGAAATTAGATGGAAAACAGGAAATAATTATTCTAAAAATGACTTCTTCATTTTCTCTGCACCACTCCCAGTTATATTTAAAAATTGGGCAAGAGGCAGTAAACAATTATAACTATATGGAGAATGTGATATATTATAGTACATAGAATATCTGACCAATTCTGACCTGTTCAATACTTTCTTCATCATTAATAATGACCATAGGCTCCAAACTCCTATGAAAGTCATCAGTACCATCTTCACTATAGTCCATACTGCATGAGATTCTGTAAATAATAAATAAAAACTTATTGTAACTAGGTAGATGCAGTATTTAAAACGATTTTCGAGGTGTATTTCAACGAAAAGAGAAAAACTAGCATCCACCATCTACCTTTTCCATTCAATTACGATCACACAGATCAATCACACTGCCTCAAATGGTTTGAGAAAAAATAGAGTATTGAAGGAAAAAAGAAAATTTATCTATTGTCTCAAGTATAAAAATAAGCGAAACATTCCACAAATTCCAAAACATTTAAAAAATTCATGATTCCCAAACATACAAAAACAACATTGAAATTGAAAACACAGATTTCAATTAGATGTCAAGTGTCAATACTCAATTGTCGGATTATATTTTTTGTTGCGCGGTACACTTGCGCAGTAGCGCATTGCCGTCTCTGCCAATCGATCGAGGGCAAAAATTCGTACGAAACCACAGAACTCAAAGACCTTGAAACTGCTCTTCAAGGTGGCGAGAATTCACTTTACCACGACTTTCGGTATAGATGCATTCATAGATCAATCAGAATGTATAAACTCGCGCCTGCGTGGTCAGATTTCGACGTGGTTGGAAGTTGGATTATTCTTAACTTCATTACAAGAGATAATAATAATAAACCTAGAAACTCATGACTAAGAGATTCCAGGGAAATTTCGTGAATCGATTGTCAGCTGATGCAAGACAGACTGTTTCGACTTGCCATAAGTCTCATCAGTTGCACTGGTCAGCTGACAATCGATTCACGAAGGGTACCTCCATATATCAAACAAGTCGAAGCCCTCTGAGGGGGCAGAAGGACGATCTAGCTTTCATAGCCATCTAATGGCTCAAGTGCAAAGGTGTATGGTAGATTCATCAATCATACCTTGGGATTAAGTCGTGCATATATAGACCCCTACGTCTATATGCTTACAAAAAAGACTTCCATGTCAGATTCTGTAGACTATCTACCATACACCTTTGCACTTGAGCCATTAGATGGCTATGAAGGCTAGATGGTCCTTCTGCCCCCTCAGGGCTTCGACTTGTTTGATATATGGAGGTACCCTTCGTGAATCGATTGTCAGCTGGCCAGTGCAACTTGGCCGTGGGCCCACCATGTACTCACGGCGTCGGGGTGGGGGTAGCCTCAGGTGACTCCAGACACCACTGGTTAAAAGCTTGAGGTCCTCACTCTTGTCATGGTAGCGGTACGTGTGAAAGGCCGCGAACGGATTCTGGTCGAGATGGGTAGCTGGGCTTGCTCAGCGAAAACAGGAACTTTGGTGTACCTTGTGCCTCAGTTCGACAGGGAGAGGGCAGCCCCAAGCGATCCTACCGCCAGACATCATAGGTAAAGCCGGGTCCTCTCCTGTAAATGAGGTAGAGGAACGTGTAAAAGTCCTCGAACGAACACTCATTCAACGGGACGAGAGGATTCTTGTCAACATGAGTAGCAATCAGGCGAAAGCTTCTTGCGACGGCGACCCATCAAACGTAACAAGAGGAATCTTGTTGACATTGGTACCTGGGGTGATGAGGATAGCCCCATCAGGCCGTACATGCGGCCTGGTGCCTCACCAATTGGGTTGGACTCCAGGGGGCAGCGGTTTCCAAAAAACACCACTGGACTACGGTAGAGGAGGTGAAGAAGAATCCCACTATGGGTCAAGTGGGAGGATATCTTGCCTGCCTCGGCGGGTGAGCAGCGTTTCTGCTCGGGCACTGACACTGCAGAGCCAGTAGTCTGTCTTATCAGACGGCCTCACCATTGGTATTATAAAATGGTAGCAGGAGAACATGCCGTTACATAACGGATATGGCTCTAGCGCGCTGATTTGGCGTATCGAAATCCTCCATTTCTCCCTGGGGTGCTGTTGGTATAAGTGGAGAGACAGGTAACCGGCAGTCATCCCTAAGGGAGTCTTGTGAGAGGGGGGTGGGAATTGGTCCCACCCGTTGCCACCCCGGCAACATTTTATTGATATTGATTGATATTTGATATTGATATTGATATTTGATGGCCAGTGCAACTGATGAGACTTATGGCAAGTCGAAACAGTCTGTCTTGCATCAGCTGACAATCGATTCAAGAAATTTCCCTAGAATCTCTTAGTCTTGAGTTTCTAGGTTTATCACCATCTGTTAGTGGAACATCAAACCGCTTTGAGAATTACAGATGTTGCGATAGTCTACAGAATCTGACATGGATGTCTTTTCTGTAAGCATATAGACGTAGGGGTCTATATGCACGACTTGCAAGACTCGCAAGATCTTACTCGCAAGGTATGATTGATGAATCTACCATACACCTTTGCACTTGAGCCATTAGATGGCTATGAAGGCTAGATCGTCCTTCTGCCCCCTCAGGGCTTCGACTTCATTACAAGAGTTTGAAAAGAATTTCGCTCGCTTTTCCTATCCATTCAAAATAATTCAAAAATTTAGATATGGCTTTTTAATACTGTACTCGGTGAAACTGCATTTATCATGCGATGTTTTTTTTTGAAAATTTCTTTGTAACATACGCATTCTTGTCTGAAAAATACGAATTTGATAATGAAAATGTGAACAAAAGTTCGGAATTTCGCCTTCTTCTTCCCCTTATGTTGAATGCATTTACAGCTACTTGCTCTTCTTATCTTGTCATTGGACACTTTATATACTCATGATGTACTTCAATGACACATTTTTATATATAAAATTCATCAGGAAATATCATAAATATGGGGTTCAAGGGAGTGTCTAGGGTCAGACACTCCACGCTACTCTCACCTCCTCGCGGTGAACCCTCTGGGCAACGTCAAGACGGCTAACGAGAGCTAAGCGGCCCTAGGGGTGGCTGAGGCGCCGCAGTCAACGGGGGTCGCGATCCGTGGGCCCCCAGCTCCTTTTACACCGACGCCAAAAATACACAATCTTCCTCCCCACACGCAACACATACTCACCCGTCGGAAGGAAAAGAGAAAGGCCCACAAAAATAAGCAGAGTGCAAGAAGGAGGCGAGAGGACAAGGAGAAGGAGAGGGAACACAGGCGGAGGTTGTATGAAGCGGAAGGTCCAACCAGACCATCCGAATAAGGCACCTCGGAGACCACGGAGGAAGCGCTGCAAGCCGGGTCAGGAAGTCCCAGTAGGGACCCCTAGACCCAGCAAGTGAGCGCACCGGAATCACGAGCCGGAACAGGAAGTCCCATTAGGGACTCCCAAGCCCAGCGTCGTGGTTATGGATCCTGGTCAAATCCTAAGAGGGGACCCGATGCCAGGAGAGAGAAGAGGCAGCAGAAGGTCCTTGCTCGGCCTCCCATCATGCTACCGATTGCGCCAAGATTGGCGGGGAACGTCGGATCTGATGAGGACTCACAGGAAGGGACCTCGAGGTCCAGACGAACCGTGTCGCCTAGGCGTGGGTAGGGGGCACGAAGAAAAGGCCTAGAGAGAAGGACACTCCCCCTGACCGGCCCGCCAAGAGAGGCAAATAGGGGAGGACTCGGCCATTGGGCCAAGCGGCAAATGTTTCACCTCTACTCAGGAGAGAGGCAGCAGCCGCTGGCCGGGAGGCGGGGACCATCAGAAACCCTCGCGCGACCTCTTACAAATTATACGGACTTAAGACAAATAGAATAAGAAATCCCTTCGTTATTATGTTGTTTGTATAGCATGTTCCTTCTTGTGTTTATAGACATGTGAAGTCGTAGTATGGGAAACCTCATAACACCAACCTTAAATGTGATAACAACCCTCACCTAATTATCATTAAATCCCTTTGGTACCGCAAGAAGCCAGAAAACCATGAAACATAAAAGAAGAAGAGGAATGACCAAATGACCTTGTCAAATAGTTTGAAGTTTGAATAAATAAAAAATAAACGATAAACATCATTACATGTCAATATGTCATGCAAGCATGCAACATCCAGCTGATGAGTGATGAGCACTGTTGAATGTTGATGATGAGAGATGAGTTGAATAGTGAATCAAAGGAGGAAACAAAAATGAATAGGTTGATTTTATGAAGTCTTGACTTCACAATGGTAAGACATCATACCAATACCACTGTTCATAGAAAATTTCTAAAGGTGTATGGTGTTTGGCTGTTTGTGCTAGGAGTATTGACTATTTTCTACTTCTATCGAAATATACAAGGGACTAGTAGTTTACCGACAGAGGAAAATGATTATTACAAAGAGTCCAAACAGACAGATACATTTGTATTTGAAGGTGAAAAAATTGTTCATCTAGATTTGAAAGGAGCCCCACCAAAACTGATCTTCTATAGTGAGTTATTTCCCCTACTTGCAGAACTTGGCGCTACTGGTATTCTTATCGAATATGAAGATATGTTTCCGTACTCTGGTGAATTAGTAAATATATCAGCACACAATGCATATACCTTAGATGATATCAATACTATTAACAATCTTGCTAACAAACATAATCTCAAAGTAATTCCATTAATACAAACATTTGGACACATGGAATATGTTTTGAAACTAGCAGAGTTCAAAGAACTTCGAGAAATAACAGCATACCCACAAGTCATATGTCCAACCCACCAAAGAACTTTCACACTTATAATGACTATGTTAGATCAACTCATAAGGGCACATCCTAACATTGAAATGATCCATATTGGATCTGATGAGGTTTATTATTTAGGAGTTTGTAGTCGTTGTTCTGAGTTTATGTTGAAGAACAATTTGTCAAAAAATTTACTATTCACAGAACATGTGAATAGTGTTGTTGGTATTATAAACAAAAACTTTCCCAAGCTCAGAGTGCTATTATGGGATGATCAGTTCAGATCATTTTCGAGCAAGGATTTTGAAATGGCAAATTTGAATAAGAATATAGAACCAACAGTGTGGAAATACTCTAGAGATGTTTATGATGAACTTGGACCTAGCCTTTGGAATGGCTACCAGAATATATTTCCCAAAATATGGATTGCCAGTGCTTTTAAAGGAGCAACAGGTATGACATTATTTTAAACCTTCATTATATTGATTATTGTAGTAATATATTTTTAGCCAGCAATGATTTTGTATCTCACATCACACACTATCTCCAGAATCATCAAAGCTGGTTGTCAGTTGTTCAGGAATATAGGAATAGGATTAATTTTCAAGGAATAATTATCACTGGGTGGCAAAGATTTGATCATTTTGCCATTTTGTGTGAATTGTTACCAGTAGGTATCCCAACTTTGGCCATGTGTCTAAGAATACTTCTAGGTGAGTTGGAAATCTGAGATGAAGACTCTGATAAAGACAAGGGTGATGTCAGGTAGCTGATACCTATTTTTAAAACTCAAGTCTGAGCAAAAAATCATTTCAGATGATTTTGCTATTTTTCAAATGTTTAGTCATACCCCTTATAGTTTTATTAGGATCAAATGTGACACTTTGTTTGACAAGCACACATTTTGCGCTTTAAACAGAGTCACTTTTGTTCCCAATGAAATATGCTATTTGTTTCTGCAATCATAATAATTCATATCCATTAATAAAATATAAGTGAATTTACCACTATTTTGACTCACTTGAGCATGTCAGTGTCAAAGCAGCTATCATATCAGCTGTCATCCAACACAGTTTTAGTTCCTACGAGTTTAACTTCAACTTCAGCTCCTAGACACTAGACAAAAGTGTTGCCTAGCAATGTACATACTTATCAATTTATTGTGTCAGTAAGACAAACGTCTACTTCAAGAGTTAATTTTGGAACAGAAATGGACGACTTTTTAGCCCATTACAGAAAAACTATTTTTTTATGAAGAAAGAATCAAAGAAAAATCTTTATTAACTCTAACAAGGACCTAAAGAAAGGTATAGAGCCATGTCATATGATGATGATAAATCAAATCATTCATAGAAAACAACATTTGACAATATCATGAGTGGTTATTATGACATTGATAAAAAGGGGTGCATGCTTTTCATCCCTGTAAAAATCACTGACATACATTACTAACTAGACCATAATTCCATAAAATCAAAGCTCATTTACTCATTATATCTCTCTTACTTATGTTTCCGAACACCAGCAGAGAGACATGATTAGATGTAATGAAGACATTTTGAGAGGTTCTGCGATCAGCTCCTGCACATTAAACAGAAGCGCTTGATATTTTCGGGTTGCTGGGATTTGACATAGCTGTCTAGATAGTTGTTATCTCACTTCATTTCCTAAGATGTCAGAAAATTCACAAGATTAGTGGTTTTGGGGAAAACTCCTCTAAGAAATCATAAAAAATATAAAAACAATCAGTTCCACTAATTACAAGGATCAGAAAATCATTAATATAGTTAATTATTATTGTTGGTGATTTTTCTAGTCAGACAACATAGAGAACACTGAAATTATTTTTATTTCTGTGAGGAAAAAAAAATTGAAATTTCATCTCTGGAAAAAGGTTAAAAAATGTCACTTTTCATAAATTACTTTTATCCCAGATATGTATCACATATAACATATATACACTGTTGATGACTTTTGTTGTGATATAAGTTCCGAAAAATAAGCCAATTACACCGTCTTCAAGACTGCAAGTCCTTTTATCTTCCATTTGACTTCACGGTTATGTAAATTACTAAACAACCACTTTGAAAATCAAATCACAGAATTTGACTGTCAGATATTTGATTACTTCAAAAGAATGATGAAGATGAATGCAAAAAGATGCCTGCAACGCAGGTGTCGTTCCTGTTGAAAACTTCAAATTTCACGTTGATAAAATATGCAAAGTTGCATTGCCACTGATGTTGCGTTATTTATTTTATTGAGTAGACTCAACATTTGTGAAATTTATGTATCAATCAATTTCCAGTTGATTTTGAGTTCCACAACTTAAATTATGTCAACTTTTTTATCATAGTTTTTGATCATAGTTTTCGAGATTAATCGATTTCCCTGAAAATAGTTTACGAAAATATTTGTATCTCGCAAACCCTTCCAAATTTCAGCACCAAATTTGCGGAACAGATAGCTAGAATTCTATGCTAACTCTTGACGTCGCCCCATTTTGTACCATATGGGCGCGGGCGATTTTCAAATGTAGCATTCAAAATTGCCAAGAACTCAACTTTTTCAAATCCAACCTGCTATTTTCTTTAACACCATGTAAAGGAAAATTGAATTTTAGGACTAGTTACTTGAGCATTCCCTATATATAACTCAAACCTCCCTAATAGTTCAATAAAATGGTAGTTGTACTTGGAAAAATATCGGAGTAGGCGGTTTCCCTGCGGTTCTTTATATGTTTTTCCGGATGCTGAATCTGGATTTGAAGTTTGCAAACATAATTTCCTGAAGCGTTCCGCAAAAAGCAATGAAACTTTCAAATTTTCGTCGAAAAAAACATTCTCTAGAAATATCTAGTAGAAAAAAGTGTATTATGCTTTTCTGTGATTTCAGGTGAGTTAATTGAAAATTAGCAGTTTCCCCATGGTTGCAACTACCTGACTTGACCCAATTCCTTACTGTTTATAAAAATAATATCATCACTTTTTAATGTGTTGATATTATAATATACACAGTGAATTGTTTATATTGTATCTGATTGTGGGATATTTTGCCATTTATTGTTAACTCTTGTATAAGATCTATAATCACTATTTTCCATCGTCCAAATATCCCCTTAGTTGGGAATATCTTTTTTTTTTTAATTGAGAAAATCATTGTTGAAATATCTAATAGGAAACAACTACTTTTCTGGTTGATACTACAGAATATTGAATTATATATATATATGTTATCATATAATGGCTGAAGGACTCAGGTCGATGGCCACTTGATTGTATTGTATTGTATATTTGTGTACATTTACATATATGATCAATAAAGTACTTTATTATTATTATATGTTACCTATATTCTGAGAAAATATACAAACTAAACTACTCAACACTAATTTCGTCGCACACCAAAATGTCGCCCCTGTTATAATGTGAATAACTTTTTTCAGTTTACAACAATTTGAATTTGGTTCACACTGTTCGATAGCCCAGTCCTTCAGCTATAATCTGGTACTTCATTGAAACATAAGGGTATTCACATAAAATCTCTACATGGTGTTTTCCGACAATGTACAAAATTTCGGAATATTCAAAAGGCTCTCAAATGGTGAAACATTTTTTTTTCTCAACTTCGACAACAGAGGCTTGAAGATGATCTCATTACCTCGAGATATTTCGCGAATCAACTTCCTATCTCTCTTATTTACAGAGTGATCTCAAAAAAACAACTTTTTGGTTTTGCAGCCATAACTTTTTTTCACTTCAACCGATTTTGGAAATCTTAGGCTCATTTTGAAGATAAAACTTCAGATGGAGAGATCTGAATATCATAATTGACTCAAGATGGCTATCAAAGATCTAGAGTTTTCTTGAAAGTGACCCAAATCTGGAACGCCCTCCGAATCTCGATTGGGAGGAGAATTGAATGAAAATCAACGTGTTCTCGGAAAAACAATTCATTCTGAATGCGTCCATATTTTCCTCGCTCTCAGTAGTCAAGAAGGTGCGTGAGAAAACACAATTGAAACATGTTCTTGCAGAAACATCAGACCATTTCTCCTCTGTAATGCATGGCCGTAACCAACGTTACAAGAATCACAGTAAGTGACTGACAAGTCAGGTTAGACGTCGTTTTCGAATCATCAACAGATTTCGATAGTTTCGATGCCGCGTCTAACGCAAATGTGGGTGACAACTTTGTTCTCGTTGATGACAATGCGAGACCGCATAGGGTTGTTGGTACACCATTTATGATGAGCCTTAGCTGGTCGGGTTTGTCAGTCCATTGTGATTCTTGTAACGTTGGTTACGGGCCATGCATTACAGAGGAGAAATGGTCTGATGTTTTTGCAAGAACATGTTTCAATTGTGTTTTCTCACGCACAATTCTTGACTACTTAGCAAGGAAAATATGGACGCATCCAGAATGAATTGTTTTTCCGAGAACAAGTTGATTTTCATTCAATTCTCCTCCCAACCTAGATTCGGAGGGCGTTCCAGATTTGGGTCACTTTCAAGAAAACTCTAGATCTCTGATAGCCATCTTGAGTCAATTCTGATATTCAGATCTCTTCATCTGAAGTTTTATCTTCAAAATGAGCCTAAGATTTCTAAAATCGGTTGACGTGGAAAAAAGTTATGGCTGAAAAACCAAAAAGTTAATTTTTTGAGATCACTCTGTGAATAGAGAGATAGGAAGTTGATTCGCGAAACATCTCGAGGTAATGAGATTATCTTCATGCCACTGTTGTCGAAGTTGAGAAAAAAAAATTTTTCACCATTTGAGAGCCTTTTGAATATTCCGAAATTTTGCAGTGTCGGAAAACACCATGTAGAGATTTTATGTGAATACCCTTATGTTTCAATGAAGTACGAGATTATAGCTGAAGGACTGGGCTATCGAACATTGTGAACCAAATTCAAATTGTTCTAAACTGAAAAAAGTTATTCACATTATAACAGGGGCGACATTTTGGTGTGCGACGAAATTAGTGTTGAGTAGTTTATAACACTTATTGGAAAATAAACTATGCAACACTAACTTCGTCGCAGCCCGAAATTTTGCCCTTGTTGAAATATGAATATCTTTTTTCTGCTTTGAACAATTTGAATTCGGATCACTCTGTTCGCTAGTCCAGTCATTCAGCTATAATCGAGTAATTCTTTAAAACATAAGGTTCTTCACAAATCGCTACAGAGTGTGAATTTTCAAAAGGATCCCGAATGAAGAAAAACATGTTTTTTCAACTTTGACAGCGGAGGCATGTAGATGATCTCATTACCTTGAAGCTGAAAGTTCAGATGAAGAGATATGGAGATCATAATTGACTCAAGATGAACATTATACAGTGTGTCTCACTTCTAATGGAAGCATCACTGTATCTTTCGTAATTGTTGAGTTAGGATTGTGAAATTTGCAGCAGCGGTAAATATACTGAAAAAACACACTATGAACAAGTGAAGTCATCTCCAGTGATATTGACTGCTTGCCAACAGCCATGCAAACACCCACGCTGGGGATATTGTGTTCCAACCGAGGGGGCAAGAAGGGACATTGGTACGGCGTCCAGACTTCGACCGCCTCAAAATTCGATGCTTCTGCAATTCAGGGTTAAGGTCAGACAATGCGGTGCCGCATCCAAGATCTTGGATTACACGCAAGTAGACGAGCTATCTAGCAGCAAAGCGATTGTGGGGGAAATACATCAAAACCCAAT